ACAAAGTTGAGCGTGGGCAGAGGATCATTAACCTAAGATTTCAGCTCCCTAGACCCCGTGGTTCCCGAGTTAATAATTTACCCGTAAAAAACTTCACGGGGCTGTGCGTGTTACCCGCAGGTACGGAAAGGCTGAATTTGAATGGGCAAGGTTGAGCGTGGGCACGGGGTCATTACCCTAAAATTTCAGCCTCCTAGACTCCGTAGTTCCCAAGATATTAACTTACCCCTGAAGAACTTTCACGGAGCCGTACGTGTTACCCGCGGGTAAGGGAAGGCTGAATTTGAATTTGCCACGTCACCCGTTGGCGGGGAACACTATACCAAAATTTCAGCCGCCTAGCTTTTGTGGTTCCCGAGTTAAAAGTGCGAGACAAATAGAGCACTATACCAAAATTTCAGCCGCCTAGCTTTTGTGGTTCTCGAGTTGAAAGTGCGGGACAAAATGTGGGACACACACACACACAAACACCCACACAGCACAGACAACCCCGTGACAATATGCGTTTTGTAACGCTATTACACAGTACAAAACGCATAAAAATTAAATGGAAATAATATATGTTTTAGTCCAGGTTCAGCATACCCTTATCGCCGCAGACTCTGTTCTTCACATATGTTCTTTGTCTTATTTTCGTACATGTTATCACAACTGTTGTGCTGACGAAGTACAGTAATGGTGCTGAGGAAGGATATATTTGACTTAATGGACCGAAATATTTCTTTTCAGCTATTTAAACTTTTAATTTTAAATATTCTGCCTCTGCGTTTCCATGTTTTCTAGTACATCATTCTACACTGAAAAATTATAACTATTTTAATTACTGTCAGTGTTATCGTTATCATTATTACCTTTGCGAATATCACTGTTATTATCATCATTATCGCTACAAATCTGCACCTGCTGATTTTTGATCTCAATCCGACATGAGTCGAAAGTTGGAGCACTACGTAATTAACATAATAATTGGCTGGCGCACCGACTGCTGGTAGAAGGTGCGTATTTAGTAGAGTTCGCCGGAGATTTTTATCGCTAACGGTACTGTTTTTTCTGGCAGATGCTTCCAACTAAAAGAACTGAGACTGACCGCCACAACTGTTAGAAAACATTCCCATTCGAGTTTTCCTGGTTCTCGAGTTTGCAACTTACCCGCCAAAAATTCTCCCGGGTCTGTACGTGGGACTCATATGGGCAGGAGCATCCATTTTGGGGACGGGGACTTGTACATACGTGTAGATCAAGTCCCCCAAATTTCAGGTCTTGAGATGAAAAACGGATACAGACAAACACGCATACGCACAAACAGTTCCTCGACGGTATAAGAGGGATCTGTCGACACAAGCTTGGCAAAGCAATAGTGTTAATCGATAAGTACCGATAACTTTCAATTTGAAATCGTCGATTTTCACGTAATCATAGCAATTCTCACGTAGGAGGTTGTACTGTTGATTCCCACTCCTAACCGCAAGCTGCGTTTGGTCTGTGTTTACAGCTAAGAGATGAAACAGAAAATGCATCCAAACACGTCTTTTTGCCTACGATACTTAGACTGACCCCTTATCTTTTACTCTATTATTTGTACGGCAACTACAACGATGAAAACGCTTTTATTTTTATTGGAAAACAACAAATTTACAGTACCAACATCCCAATCTCCTAGATAAGAAGGTACTTCATCGTGGTCTAAGATTAACAATGCTATAAATAAGGTAGTGATGCTCATTATAAACCAAGTTCATCTTGAATCAGCCTGAAGCCTTATCAAGTGCTTCTGCTGGGAAAACGTGGTTGAGTTGGTAATTCCTTTAGATGAAACGAGTATCAATATCGCCTTCAAGTTGACCTATGTGCAGTGAAGCATTGGTCAAAGCATACAGGGTCAACTACGTAGATGGAGAAGCAAACTGGACAAAATACCAGATGACCCACATATCCGAAGCATATCTTACCAAAAAGTCTAACAGGCTAAGAAGTATAATTTAGGCTTTTCTTATGAACTGACTGAAGAACAAGCTTGGACTCCTCGCATATCTCCAATCCGTGATGACTGTTGTGAAAGAACCCAGTCATACGATGAATTAGAAAGCCATATAAACAACGAAAACAACGCGGACACATCAAGTAGTATTTCGAAGAACTATAAAACACGGAAACAACGACCAGGGCTACTTCCACGCCTTGTTTGTCCGAGTAAAGCATTTTTTTCCTGAGTATTCAAGCTAAATCTAATATTTCTTGACCTATCCTGATGCTTCTCATTGCTATCTACGATTTCGACACCAAAACTGATACTCTTCTGGCTTTACACTCATAAATCCACTTCAGTAATTATTGGAAACCACGCACATGCATATCAGTTCTTCAACTTTTTTTTCGAATTCAGAAACCTGGAGCTTTCACTAGAGTTAAAGAATCCGCCACAAATCCTTCCTCCCCTTCCCTCCTTCAGATTTTACCCGTAGCTGCACATATAATTTTTTAATGAAATAAAAAAATGGTAATTAAATTAAGAAAACAATTTTACATTCAGTTGATTTTCAAATATTCAATAATCAAAATCTTCTTGCGTCCTCTGAATGTAGGCTTCTTTCTCGGATGCACTCATCTGTGCCACGAGTTCCGGAGTAATTTCATCTAAGTAATATCTCTTTCCGGCCACGTAGATCACTTCATCATCGTCACTTTCCATGCTTACTGGCTCAGCTACCGGCTCTTCGGCATTCTCCTCAGCAGACAGTGTTTCCGGCGGTTTTGTCTGAAATCCAACACCATAAAAAGCCAGAAAAACTTTTCTATGCTGATGAAATAACAACTAAGCTTTTGATAACAGCGAGAATGGAGGGGAAAATGACAGACAAATCGGAGTGCTATTTAACTGACGTGAAGCGTGTACACAGAAAGTCATCAGTGAAACAGAAA